AGTACTTGTTTCGGCTGTGATCATGCCTGAGCTAGCCGGCCTCAATGATCTCACGGACGGTACCTCTCCATGCGTGACGATTGATAGCAACGGATCTGGAAAGCTCCACCCATTCTCTTCTAAAACGACGAAGATCGAAACTCGAAGATTCAGGAACCGCTTCCAAGTCTTGACGGACGGTATCGAGCCAAGTCTTGAGTTGCCTGCCTCTTCGTCACCTCCACGTGGGCTGCGGCGCCGGATCGAGGGCAGCGTAGCGAAGCTCCAGATACGGATGACGGAAAACGTGCTCAAACTACCTTAGTCGTCTTCCTCGGATGACCTGAGATATCCTCGCGATACTGTTGCAGCGGGTGCAGACTGTCCCATTTGAGACAAAGTCAGTATACTTCACTCGAAGGATGGTCTTCAGGCAACGGTGCTAAAAGACCTCCAGTCTTCGCTCATCTCCCACACGCAAGGCCCAGCATCCATACCCGTAGAGGAGAACTGACCGGATGGATGCACGGTACACACAGATCTTCGTGGCGATGGAGATGTCGTGTAGCACCCACAGGTACTTTCGGAGAATTGAGAAAACCCGGCGAGCAGCATCGATTTGGAAGACAATGCCGTCCTTACTCTGTCCAGCCTTGCCCCGAGGTATTTAAAGCTATCTGCTTCTTCAAATTGACGGACATTAATCCCCAGGGGTGCCTTCTTCTGGTCAGGGATGTAGATGGAGAATGACTTAGTCTTCCAATATTTATGGACAAGCTAACCGACGCAGTGATCTCATTCATTCATGACACTACAGACTGCAGATCGCCAAAGCATGAAACTGGTAAAGCAATATCATCGGCGTAATCGAGATCAGTCCTCTGACGTCCATGTGCAAGCTCAACACTGTTTTCTTCACGTTGGGCATTCCCGATAACCTAGGCTATGACGAAGTTGAATAGAATGGGCGACAGAACACAGTCTTACCAAACGCCAGATCGAACAACGAACGGTTCTGAGAGGTTTTTATTAACCGGATCTCGCGCAGTGGTGGAATGGTAGTGTGCCTTAATCATGGCGATGATTTTTGGTGGTACACCGTCTAGCGTCATTATCCAGTCCTGCTTGGCCTGAGATAACTAGTAGACATACTAAATGGCTCACATCCCGACATGACGAACTACTGACGAACGGGATGGCAAGAACTTTCAAAAAATGCAAAATATGGGAAGCACTCACTTGAATGAGGTAGAAGAAACTTCCGTCCCAATGAATTAGAGTGACAAACATAAGCACGACGAGGATACGACCACCCAGTTGCAAGTACTGTCGTGACGCATTTCCGCCCGCAGACGGCAATCCGGCCAACAGGCTCCTGGATTCTTGCGAGGCCTCGGCGATGAGTAAAAGCAAGCTTCCCATGAGGGAAAGATTGCGCATGAGGAAGATTCGAGTCCAGATATTGTAACCGATTGTCTGAATGACGTAAAAATATATTATTATGAGGACGACTGTAAATCATCAAAGTGGCATTATGGTATAACAAAAAGTGCACTGGTGAATTTGAATTCTATCTAACTGACCATGAAAAATGAAAAAGTGCCTATACCTGCCTAAGTATGATAAGTGTTCGTAGAGCCATTTACGGCGATTTGCTGAGACGAAAAAGATACGCCTATTTCTTTTATTATCCAGCAACACGGACTAGAGACCTTGACACACAGAAATGAGAAGAGTTGTTGTCGGTCCATTTCAGCGAATGGCTGCTTCAGTTTAGGAACGGCACTCTGGCCGTATATGGGGAGCAGTATAATTTCGACGATGCTGTGATAACGTCCTGTTGCTGACTTTACACGAATGCAGTGTCTTAATGGGGACGAGGTCTGAAAATATGATTTTCAGGTCAAGGACTCTGGCTTGCTCAGAGGTTAAACTCGCATGACACATGATACAAAACCCCATAAGAATAAGTAAATACCTTAATAGCAAAAGTTGACCGCATTAGTAACTGAGAGACCACGGCACGCACAATAACCCCCCTCAAAAGAATTGTTCATTTGGGTGGCGCCATAGTCCCTACTGCCAAAATTTTCAACTTCGTCCTACACACTCTAACTGCCAGTATCTTCAAGCTGATAGTACCTCATGCACAAGGCATGAGCGTACGCTTTAATGCCTGGTAAATGGATACGGATTTTCAGCCTCAACTTAATGCACCCAGGCCACAGCAGGAATACCATTTTCTATAGGTGTTGACAACGTGAACTTTAAGCAAAATTGCAGGAGTCCCTCACTGATTTGGCTCCTGCCTTTTGGATTTCTTGCGATGGAACTATTATCAACCGCTTATACCGGCAGAGTTACAAAGATAGCGATGATAGAACAAGAATCAAAAGTCAAATCAATCCATCCTGATTTCCAGAAGAGCAGTCTGGAATCCATATCTTAGAAGAAGGGTGGACATTAACAGCATAATGATGAGACTTCGGGCGCCAGAGCCAACAACTTTACGAAAGTTCTATTATTCGACACAAGAAGTCCTTAAATGATTAATTAGTGCAGTCTACTTATTATTTTTTAACATGCTTGCATCACGGTTGCAGAAGGTGATCGCATTGCCATAAAATTTAACACAGCACCTCGGGAGCAGTGGCATGTACAAGAATAAAAATTTCGTCTAGTTTTGGTTTCAAGGATGTTACACCAATTAGATGGCAATACTGACAACTAAAAATTTCCTATGAAACAATAAACAATCGATGTCACGAAAAATGTTATACAACACGATCTCTTTGTCAGTCATTAGTTGATCAATGTCTGCTCGTTCGATTTCCATCATCCGTATGAAAGCTGTGACCGCTATTGGATGGGCGTTCGAATTAAGGTAGAATTTGCAATGTATAGGAAAATACAGCTGACAGCATAAAG